CAAAGAAAGAAAGAAAAAAGAAAAAAAAACAACAACACTAGACGAGTGGTGCCTTTGCTGTTACAATCAGTAGCCTGACAAAAGAGACAATGGCTGCAACAAAAGCATTTACTTAGCTGGGTACTCAAAACCTCAAACATGCATGCATACTGAGAGATTGCATGAATATGTTTGAAAAAATTCAAGCTGGCTTTATCAGACAAGAATGGATTCTCATAAATTGCATCACGAATAACTCGCTTAAACTTTATCTTAGTATCTAGCAAAGCGTGTGCTGGAGAAAATGAGCATGCAGATTATCTGGCGAACAAGGATGTGACCACGACTGGTCCGGCACTGGGCAGGATATAAGTCATTAATGCCAAGCGAAGTGCTTATTGCGAAGAAGATCGCTACCCAAAAATCCTTGTCTAGGTTGATCGAGACTGGAGTGCAGCCAGACATAAACAGTTCACCGAAGGCACAAGAGTCTTTTTAATCAACATAGAACAGGTGTGATCAGTTGTTTTACTTTTGTGAGGCTATTTAGGAAGACATCAGAGTACCCATGGGCCTGTCTGGGAGGCCATTACGATAGTCCTCATTGATAACTCTCACTTCAAGTCACCATTCGAAGATGGTATCAAGCACATAGCACGCACTCCGTAGCTCCGGCGATGACTGTCACAACAGTATTGCCAGCCTGCTAAGGACGAGGATGTCCTGACGGAGTCCAGACGTCTAGCGCCGCTCCATCGGTAAACGAGACGTTTCACGTTCACAACTGTATATACCACAGCCATTTAGCCAATATATACATAGGTCCTGGGGTAGGAGCCTGTCCTACTACTAGGCGCGTCCACCAGGTGGAGGATGGTGGAAAGGTCTCTAGATATAGAGGTTAACTACGAATATATTGAATAAGTGGCCGTGGACCAAAACAGGTGATGGTCACTGAGAGGAGGCGAGTTAGTTGGTGGGACAGCTAACTATACAAAATACCTCAAAACTCTACGACATGGCCATCGGCGGGTAAGTGGCGACATAACCTCTTCCCTCTGCTGCCTTGCATGGTAAGTTTCTTTAGACAAAGGCTATTAGAGTCAAACCATATACAAACCAGCGGAAGGCAAGGGGAAACCACCGCTGTACTATCCCAAGAAAATCATGCCTCAAAATAATACATATTCAGATAACGACGTGAATGGGTATTCCGGTGGAATCACCTCGTCCGGTAGGGAGCATCATGTTCTACGGGTGATACCCGACCGTCATCCAGCTACTGTAGAAAACGTAAATGGTATAAATATCATGAACATTGGTACATGGAATGGCAGAACACTCGTATAAAACGGAAAGTTGGATAACATCAAGATGGAAATGAAAAGAATGAACATCAACATATTAGGAATTAGTGAAATGCGATGGCCAGGAGCAGGTGAAAAGTATTCAGAATTATTTACTCGGGTGGGAAGGAATATAGTAAGGGAGTTGGTATTATTTTGGATCAAAAAAACTCAAAAACTGTGTAAGGATTTTGGACAATATCAGAAAGAGTACTATTAGTAAAACTTCGCGGCAGATCGTTTGACATCAGCTTAGTACAGATTTATGCCCCAACAGCAGATAGTTCAGAGGAAGATATTGACGCATTTTATGACGAGTTAGACATGGTTGTTGATCAATGCAAAAATTGTGAAGTAACAATGGTACTTGGAGATTTCAACGCGAAAGTAGGAAGTGAAAAAGTGTACGGAATAACGGGTGGCTATGGCCTAGGAGAAAAGAATGTGAGAGGTGACAGATTAATAGCATGGGCTGAGTCCCGCAGCATAATAATAGGTAACACCTGGTTTAAACACCATCCTCGAAGATTGTGGACTTGGAAAATTCCTGGTGATAATGTCCGCAATCAGATTGATTATATTTTGATTTCATGAAGATTCAGGAGCAGCTTAGTTGGAGCAAAAACTAGACCAGGAGCAGACTGTTTTAGTGAAGATGTTCCAGTTGTAGGAAAAATTAGAATAAAACTAAAGAACATTAGAAAAACACCACAGAACATCAAGTTAAATTTAGGAATTCTTAGAACGGATAAAGAAACAAAAGACCAGTGCAATGTCACTGTACAAAACCGGTATCATGCAATGGAAATTATACAGACTATTGATAAACAGTGGGGTATGTTGCGTGAGTCAATTCAGCAGACATCTAAAGAGACAATCCCACCAACCCATAGAGTTGCAAAAAAGAAATGGATGTCAACCGAAATTCTGCAGTTGATGGATGAAAGAAGGAAGAAAAAGAATGATAAAGAAGAATACTCTAGAATACAAAAAGAAATAGTGAACAAATGCAAAGTGGCTAAAGAAGCCTAAATGAAACAAATGTGTACAGAGATTGGGGAAAACAACAGGAAAGACTCACATTCCATGTACCAAAAGATAAATATGATAACAGGAAAGATGACACGTAACAGCACTGGATGTTTGAAATCAAAAGATGGTAACTTATTAATGGGACATAGTAATATAATTAACAGATGGACAGAGTATATAGGGGAATTGGATGATGATAATAGGCCAGAAGTAGAACTGCAGACCAACAATGATGGTCCACCAATAATGACTGCAGAAGTTGAGGATGCAATACATCATATGAAGAAAGGAAAAGCACCCGGGCCAGACAACATCTCACTAGAAGAAATCGAAGCACTGGGAGATGTTGGAATTGAAATAATAACCAAACTTTTAAATGATATTTATAATAAGGGGTACATTCCAAATGACCTTTTAAAATCCATATTTATAGCTCTGCCTTAGAAACCAGACACTATAAAATGTGAAGACAATCGCACAATAAGTCTTATGAGTCACATGACTAAGATTTTACTGAGAATAATTATGAGAAGAATAAGAAACAAAATTAAACCAGAAATCAGCGATGAACAATGTGGATTTTTAGAAGGAAAAGGTACAAACAATGCCATATACATCCTAATGACATTGTCAGAAAGAGCTATAGAAGTACAGACTGATTTGTACATATGTTTCATTGACTATAAAAAAAAAAAAAACATTTGACTGTGTGAAGCATGAAGAAGTAATCAAACTGTTAGAAAAATTAAACATTGATGGGAAAGATCTACGAATAATAGAGAATATGTATTGGCAGCAAACAGCAGCTATAAAAATTAAAAACTGTTTAGGTACATTTCAAAGCATAAAGAGGGGCGTACGACAAGGATGTGTACTGTCACCTGATTTGTTTTCAATATACAGTGAATATATAATGAGAGCTTTAATTGGTATGCCCGGAATTGTGGTGGGTGGGCACAATATAAACAATTTACGTTATACTGATGACACAGTCTTGATAGCAACAAATCAGAAAGAACTACAGGAAATGATCGACATTGTGGTGTTAGAAAGTTGAAGAATGGGCCTCAGTTTGAATAATGGGAAGACAGAAGTAATGGTGGTATCAAAGAAACGAATTATTCCTAAGTGTGTAATAAAAGTTGATGGTGTTATTTTAGGACAAGTACAGAAATTTAAGTATCCGGGCACATGGATAACATCAGATGGAAGATGCAAAACTGAGATAAGAAACAGACTAGGACAGGCAAAAACTGCATTTTATAAAATGAAAAACATCTTGTGCAATATATTCTTGTCATTGAGAGACAGAAAAAGAATTCTTGCTTGCTAAATACATCCAGTTTTAACATATGGCTGTGAATCATGGACAATCGGTAGGCAGGCCAAACAATTTCTGGAGGCCTCGGAGATGTGGTTTTACAGAAGAATGCTTAGAATACCTTGGACAGCCAAAAAGAGCAACCAAGAGGTTTTGAGAGAGGCGGGAGCCCGAATACAACTTATCACAGACATCAGAAAAAGACAGTCATCATTTTTCGGCCTTGTTATGAGAAGAGGGAAAATAGAACATGTGGTGATCACTGGAAAGATATGTGGAAGGAGAAATAGAGGAAGACATCGAGAGAAGATGCTTGACATTCTTGTTGCATGGTATGGAGGTGTGTCGGCACACGAACTGATACATGCTGCAGGAGATCGCAGATTATGGAGAGGCATGATCGCCCACACCAGTCGGCAAGGCACGTGATGATGATGATACATAGGTCAACCGTAAGCCACCACTTCAGACGTCCCGGGTAGTTAGTGTTCTTTTTGACTTTTTTTTTTCTCTCCAGGTAATCCCGGTGTGTTGGAAAATGAACAGGCAATTAGACTTCGCGGTTCTGCACTACTTGGTGGTGAATTTATGTATGACAAACTTAGTGTTTTGAGGGTCCTTTAGGAGCGAGTGAACAGTTAGGAGGCACAAATTGATTATTATGGTCTGAGGAGAATGGCGCTGCGGGGAGTTACCAGAGGATCTGACCGATGATCTGAGGGAAGGGCGAGACGAATACGCAATAAGACATTTACTAGCACCATTGGAATTGGAACTCTTCGCTTGCTGCTGAAGATGGGATGGGCGCTTATGGTGGCGTCCTGAGTGCTGTGATATCGATTTTTGATTAAATATTCAACATTCAAGAAGACACCAAATTTGGCTTTTCCCGGCGAAATGAGAATGACAATCAGCTGACAGGAAGCTGCTGATATGAAATAAAAATCAAGGCAAGCTATAACAAACTAATTTTATAATAACTTTAGCGTATTTTAAAACTTTTTGTTTAATTGTTACTGCTGTAATTTTGTATTTAAAAAAATGATTTATAGATCATGCCTTTAATTAATCGAGACTGTTTACTACTACAACTTCATTTGTTATTGAACGTCTGTTTGTTTGGCATGCATAACAAATTTGAAATAAATCTGGAACTATGTTAAATTCTGTTTTTTGTTATAATTTTGTGCAGCGCTGTTGTTTATGTTTCATAACTTGTTGAATTTTACTTTTACATCTTACTAAAAATTATATAATTGTTTTATTATTGGTTTCTACCAGCAGCCAAGAACAATATATTTTCACGATTATTGAATTTCAGCATGTCAAAAAGAGATTTCGAATTTGAAGGTAAGTACCGTCCTAATAGTAACAGTAACAGAACTATTCCTGTTCTGTACAGTACAGTACTGTAACTTAGTGAAGTGGAGTGTCGAGCACTGCCCGGAGATCGAAATTCAAAAGTAATTTTAATTAGTACTACTGAACAGTAAACAAAACACACAAAAATATGTGAATATTGAAGAACAAAGTCCAGCCTATTAAGTTTTATCTCCAAAAAAAAAAAAAAAAAATATAGGATAGGCATAGATTAATTAATCCCATTCATTTCTCTATACATCAGTTGTCATCATCATCCTCATATCAATTATCAGTTGTTAATTTGTCACAGTGTCAGATGGTGCAGAGGGAAGTACCCAATTAATAATTAGGCTTTCCTCCCAATAACGGTCCCAAATTATTGAGGCCGAAAGTATACCCTAACAGGGCCTCAGTCACATGTAAATTAAAATTGCCGACCTCTTTCCGGTGACTATACCGCCGAGAGTATCTCACCCGCCGCTACACGGAATGGGGCTAAACTAGATGGCTGGGACTCATGAGCAAATAAAATGGAGAAGCTGTATGAGATGCGGTGGCTGCTGCTATTGTGTCCCAGCCATCTGGTTTAGCCCTGCTCTGCGCTGCATTTAGCGGCGCGGGAGCTACTCTCGGCAGTGACTAACTCGGCGGGAGCTTTTCATCTGTATGCTGTGTAGTCGCCGGAAAGACGTCAGCTATTTAGTACACACATGTAAATTATTTACATGTGACTGAGGCCCTGTTAGGGTATATTTTTGGCCTTGATAATTTGGGACCATTATTCGGAGGACAGCCAATTATTATAGTATAATGAATAATGATGCCTCCACAAAAGAGAACTGGATCACTTCTAATTCTGTAGTACTTTGAACTTTGGTATACTAGTGCTTTGGAATTCAACATAATTCTTTCTTAGACAGCGTTTAAATTCTAAATCGTTTGAGTTGCAAGGCAGTTTTTCAAATGAAAAATAATGCCATTTAATGGCAACTAATCTTTCAGCGTCCAACGAACTCAGATTTTAATTTTCTATTCTATAGTTATTTAAAAAGACTAATAATACTAATAACCTTTAGTACCTTTTTAACCCTGTAATCATGAGAAGCTGTTAAACTGACACTCCCGAATTGGGTCAATTTCCCCGTAAATGTCACTTTTTAGACTTTTCAGTGATGGATGCATGAATGAGATGTAAAGATAATGATATTCACTGAGTTTGCACCTGTGCAAACATTAAGGAGTCAGGATATGAAAAGTATATTACCTAAATATAGCATTTGGGGGCGGCTGATGTTCCTTGAACAAGATAACTTTTATAAAGCCAAGTTTCCTATAAGCCTCAGTGTGAGTGATAGAAGTCATGGGGTCATGGCATGAGTCACCCTATAGATATTGTTTTATTTTTAGGCCCCAGGAAATCTATTCTATTTAATGCTTTTCTGTGTGTTCATTGATAACTGCTTTTATATGTGTTTTTATGTTCCCAAAGTTTAAAAAAAATGTAAATAGCTTTTTAATACATTTCTAAGTACCTTATCTAAAAAAATAAAAATAAATTCAAAAAGTATTTTTTAGAAATTCCTATGAGGTCATGACCCATTTTTTTTAAGGGTTATCAATGGTGATAGGTTGAGGACTTTTTGTGTAGACATTACTAACTTGAACATCAGGGATGCAAGTATAGATGGATGCAACTATTATATTAGGTCCTATATGGATGGCATGTTCCTAGGTGTTTAAAAAAAAGAAGCATCTAATCCTATGACCTTTACTGAAACACACCTACATTACTTGCTACATGTATGACCTATTTGTGTCTGTATCAGATCTATCTGTTTATTAGTGCTATACCATACACCTCCCCCAGCTTTACTTTACTTTGGTTGCATATCCTTTGCTGAGTATTACAGAATCGACCGCAGCATTTTGTTTAGTTTTACTGGGCAAGTTTTACATTTATTAGTTTATGATTGCTGTCTAAATGGTCGGCTCTCTATACCATTGCCGACATTAGAACAAAGCTTGAAGCTAATACATTGATATCTAAAGCAGTTTTGAATTGTCATTCATGTAGATCATTAATAACAAACAAGGAATGCCTGTTTCAGTGACACAAAAGCTTCATTTAGTGTTCCCTTCATTCATGGATTTTACCTGTTTCAGTTATTTGCTCATCTCTGTTTCACATTTCTGACTTCTCTTAAACAGTTTCTGTTTGATTAAATATTATTTTCTGTTTTACTGAAATGACTTTGAGGTGTTAATTTCAGTTTGTTCTTACTCTGTTGACTTCTTGTCATATACAAATTTGTTTTCCAGAAATTGTAGCTCAGTCCAGAATAAAAGAAATTATCTGTCTGTTAGCAAATCTCCTCTGATGTCAATATCTGCATTTCCCCATCTTTCTGAGTAACAGTTAAAGTTTCTGACTAATTTGCAGTTTGTGCCATTTTGTTTTATTTTAAAAAATGGTTTATGTTTTTCATCATCTCGGGGCTAAGATTATATATTCTGACTTTCACTTCCTTTCACTTTATCATCAGGATAAACTTTCACTTTCACTGTATGTGTCCCAGGGAGGAATAGTTTGTAGTCCAACATTCTCAGTAGCCCTGTCGGTTGTAATTCTGTGTAAATGTAGAATGCCTTTAATGTCATCCATTCATTTTTTTGTCCTTTGCTTTCACATAAGATTTTTTTTAAAGTTATAGTGCTTGCCATTGTTGCATTCTAATGAAATACTGAGCCATTTAATCTTCTGCTTCTCAGTGAATTTGATGCAGAATGTTGTTCTGATAGTATCATTTTTTATTCAATCTGTTCGAGTAGTCTTGTAGTGTGCCTGCCTCCCTGTAGAGCAGTGATAATTTACAAATAGTAGCTTGTTTTTTGTGTGTCGGTCTAATCCTTCATCTGGATATTTAACTGTTAACGGTTTATGATAACTTTTTAACCAGTTAACAATAATTTAGTCAAATTAATGTAGTCATTTTTATTTGATACACGGCAAGTAGTGTGCTTTAGTAACTGTCTATAAGAATCAACTCAGTTAAAAATAGGCGTGCCCATGGGATCATTTCTATGTCCACTACTTTTTGCCACATATATTAACAACCTTCCATCGCATCTCAGTAAAACGTGTGATCCGTTTGCTGACGACTGTACAATATATGCTAGTCATGAGAATTATAATGAGTTGGAAAGTTCTTTACAGAAAGAGGTAAATGAAATCTTATTAAATGGAACAATAACAATCACATGCAAGTTAACATAAATAGGACTTTCATCAATACACTTCCACGACCCTAATGGGTCAAGGGTTATGGTATATGTTATTATGTATATAACATAAATAAAACTAAATCTATGCTTATAAAACAAGATAAAAGTTACAAACATTAGCACTACACAAGCCACCACTTGAGCTTTACATAGATCAGTTACCTATTGTGAGCATAAAACATTAGGCCTTACAATTGACAATCAATTAACTTGGAATTCTCATGTTTGTATCATAGCAAAGAAATTAGCACGAAAAGTTTATCAGCTTGCCAAAATTTAGCACTTCCTAGATAAAGATACACAACAAATATTTTACACGTCCTACATTCAAACACGTTGTTGACTATTGTTCAACAGTTTGGACTGGTGTGCCTGTATATGTGTATGTATATATGTATGTGTGTTTGCATGTGTGTCTGTGTATGTATCTGTGTGTGTCTGTAAATGTCTGCTCTGTGTGCCTATGTATGTGTGTGTGTATGTAATATGTATATATGTATATTGGTGTGTATGCATATGTGTGAGTGAGTGAGTGGACATGTGCGTGCTCGTGAGTGCATGCATGCATTTTACCACCAAAGCTTTTGTGTTTTTCTTGATATTCATAATATGCATATTATTATATTAGCATAACACGGCGTCCGTGGCTAAGGCGTTGCGAGTCCGACTCGTGAGCCAGCATACCGCGATCGAAACCCACTGCAGGCTGCGTGGATTTTTGTCGTATGGGACGTCGCAGGTCGACCCAGCCTAAAATGGGTACCAGGATGGGCTGTCCTGGGAAAGTAAAGACAGCCGGCGTAATGCTGACCACATTACCTACAGAGTGCTGATGGTCTGTAAAAATATGGGAAGCTCTGCCCATTTGCCCGATGCGCCGAAAGGCGTGAAAAGGGATCTTTACTTCTTTTTTACTTTTTATAACATGCTTTATTGATAAAATATAGCTGCTATGTCAAAGATGTGTATTTGGAATGGCCTAATGTAAGACGGGTCTGTGTGCCCAATTTATGAGCCTTTGAAAATAAAGTTTGTTGGTTTGTTCCTTCTGGGATGATCTGGGTTTTCTGAGCTGAATACTTTAAAGCTTGCTTCTTTAGATATTCTGTGTGAATATTAAATAAGAAGGGAAAACACTGTTACACTCACACTTTTTATGTTCTTGTGTGCTTTAGCTAGTGTGGTACATGGCCATAATGTTATATAGCAGTTGTTGATCCCTGTATCCTTAAATCTTTAATAATAGGCCATATGTCATACCATTTCTGTCAAATTTGGTTTGGTTGTTAAACTTCAAAATACTTGACAGATTGTCTTTTAGATTTACTTAAGTATATTCTTACAGTTCTCTTGTGTTGTCCGAATTTATGGCCTAATATTTTCTGACTAGAAATTTGTAATGACCATTCATATATCTCTTTGACACCTTTTAAAACAATTGTATCTATGTATAGATGATTTGTTGGGGCATTTCTATATGTGTGACTCCTTCATTGTTCCACTGTAGATTGTTCATAGTCTCTTATGTTTGATCAGTAGCTCTTACCCAGTTACTCTATGCGTTGTCAAGAAAAGAAGAAACTATGATGTGCTAGTGTTTGATCACCACCAGTTTTGTTTGGAAGAGATTGATTGTGTTGACTCTTATATGGGCTAAGTGCAAGTTTTGTCTTGATTTTGTGTATGTGACTTACTTTTTTTTTTTCATTTTAGATATGAGAAAAGATGATCAAGATGATGGGGGAGCTTCAGCAAGATCTGGCAGGGTATGAATAGATTTACAATTTTGCTGACAGTAGTTTATGCTAAGAACATTCGAGTGTGCCTATATTTTCAAATTATAGAGGCAGGATTTGTCTATGTGGATAAATTGTCACCCATGGTATTAATTTGTCATTTATTGGGTTTGCTTTTGACATTATCTCTATATGGGTTCAACCTCCTCACCCCAATTATGAATGAAAAACAAATTAATAAACCTATTGCCTCCCTAACAAGCATGTAGTAAGAGTCGAGTAATTAGGGGTTTCCTTTGAAGTCGGGGTGCATCTGCCTGAGAGGCAAGGAACCAGCAGTCAGCATACAAATAAGCCAGATCTATAAAATGGATGTGGATGCAAAACTCTCTACAACAAAACTCAAGTCCAGTTGTTTACGAACAATCAGAACTTTCTGCCTGGGGTTTACCTACATCTGGTTAACATGAAAAAGAAGAAGACAGCTTTATCATTGAGTAAAATATTTTTCTGGTGGATGTCGGCAAATGTGTCATTTGGTAGGTTATTATTCTGGTGGATGTCAGCAAATTTGTCATTTAGTAGGTTGTTATTATGGTGGATGTCAGCAAATTTGTCATTTAGTAGGTTGCTATTCTGGTGGATGTCAGCAAATTTGTCATTTAGAAGGTTATTATTCTGGTGTTTAATATATTTTTTGTTTTTAATAAACAGGTCAGAAAGAAATCAGCCAAAGTTCTGGAAATGGAAGAATTTGAGCAGGTTGAAAAGACACAGTTAGTTACTAAAAAGGGCAAAACTCCCAAGATTGTAGGGAAAATGCCAACTGAGCAAGATTCTCCATTTAGCGACAAAACACCACCAGTAAAAAAGATGAAAATCACAAAACCTCCAGTTGTCGGTGCATTGTCTGCAACACTGGACCTAACACCTTTGTCGTCTAAAGTGGTGAAAGCTGTACCAGCAAAATCAGAGCTGAGTGCACACCAGACCAAGCCGGTCCAGCAGTTTGTCTCCATTCAGACGAGTGGCATCCTCACACGTGCTGTACGTACCTTTCCTCCGTACTCATTATTTTAACCTCTCATTTTTATACACATATTTTAAACATAGCTACATTATTGTGCTTCTTAACTCTTTGAGTCCCAAGAAATGCATCATATGTTTAAAGGTTCCTACCTAGAGGCCCAATAAACGCAAGATGCGCCAATTTTACATCTTTCTTGACTACCCCTTGGGTCTCTGATGCTAAACCCCCTGGGACTCAATGAGTTAAAGGCTTTCTTTTGCATCTAAAGAAAAAATTATTTGTTAAAAAATTGTGTTTGCTTTCAGCGGCTATTTTTAGTTGTTTTGTCCTGAAATGGCCATACCTTATACTGATTGTTATAAATTTGAATATTTGCTTGTAATATTAGTCTTTTCATCCATCTGTCAGTCAGTCAGTCTATCTACATGCCTGTCCATCGATCATCCATCCACCTAATCTTCCATCTTTGTTTCTATATGTTATATGAGACAGACTTGCTAGAGCTTTGTCTACCAACATCCTACCTGTGTTGAATATAATGGTTGTATTTTATTATTGTGTTAAGCAAAAGTAAGAGGTACTTTTCCACACCTTGAGGTGTACTGTGTGTGACGTCTAGCCCCATATCTTTATAGACCAGTGGCGCTTGATAACTGAATGGGTCACAGTCGCACCGACCATGTTAGTTTCTCAGAGAATTTTCTGGCACCCGTTTTGGCTTAAGGTTAACCCAGGAGCCCAGGCCAGGTTAAATGCAATTTCAGCTTTTGTGATGATTTAAACATGTGACTCTCAGCAGGTTAATGTGCTTGTCACTGAACTACCAAGAGTTTATTTAAAAAAAAAAAAAAATCATGCTAACCGGAGACTCCGATTAATACATCCTTCCTGGGATTCTTAGGTGAGTTTGTGATAACAAGGTTCTATTGTATCATGAATCTTGCATGCTCAGTTTGTTTCTTCTTGGTCATGTCTGACCTTTAACTACATTGTTTCAGTCAGTCTGTCTTACTGTTTTAGGTCTCTTATTTGATTTTTTGCAGTCAGCAATTTTTAAGGATACAACTTTCACTTTGCTTTCTCGTTTGTCTGCTTTGCCTTCTGATAAAGTTCACATCATCATCATCAAGTGCCTTGCCCATTGGTGTTGGCGATCCTGCCTCTCTGTAGTCTGCAGTCTTCAACAGCATGTATCAGTTTGTGTGTTGACACCCCTCCATGACAAAAGGCTGTCTAGAATCTTCTAGCATTGTTTTGCTCTGTCTCTCTTCCCAAAGGTCTTTGCAGTGGTCACAACATGTTCTAGCTTCCTTCTTCTCATAACATGACCACATGATGACTGCCTCTATCTGATGTTTGTAATAAGTTGTCTTCGAGCCTTCACCTTTTTCAAAACATCAGGGTTGGGTGGTTCACATATAATTAATTTATTTGTAAATTTGTTATCAATAATTGATTTGTGGGCTTTATTCATTCCAGCTGCCTGGTGATTTGACATTGAGTCCGACAGATTTGATGACCACTACGTTAAAACCAGAATATGAAACTGACCTGTCTATTATGTCAGACCTAGGTCTGCAACAGCAGATACTGCAGCACTCACCAGTTAGATCTGAAGACCAGAAAAGTGTTATTAAGTATCTGCTCAGTTCCCCTTCTGCTGGCTCCAAGCCTTCGGTGAGCACGACTGTCTTCAGTAGAACAGAACCTTCTCCAGTTCTCATCAGTGAGACACCTGCAGCAGCTAAAAAACCTACTAAGAAACCACCAAAGTCACAAGATGCAGGTGCTGTAAAAATGCCTAAATCCAAAAAGGTGAAGGCGGATGACATGACAGGTGTGGAGCAACCAGGAGCAGGTCTGAAGATAAAGATATTCTCTAGTAGTGATCCGAGCACTGCTCAGGTCACCCTCAGCACTCACACAGAGCAGACGTCACCAGCTAAACTTAAAAAACAGCCTAAGAAAATTAAGCAGATAGAAACAGAGCACGACTTCCTAATGGACACTGTCGATGTTCTGGGACTTTCCAAGGTAAATAAAGATGAGCTAGCCGACACTTCTGTAAAAAAGACTAAGAAAGTGTCAAAGAAGAAAGAGAAATTGATACAAGATGCTATATCTGCTGCTCAGCAGGTGCCCAATCTGGCAGCTTTAGGTATGTATATACCAGAGAGGATTATTTTATTATTAGCATTATGTCTTCACAGAAAGGCGTGCTCCATAATTTATTAACTTGTAAATTGAATCTACTCTATTTTGTATGCTATATTGTTCCTTAAGCAGTTTTGATGTTACTGTGGAAATTTTCTGATAATTTCATACAAGGTATACTTGCTATCTTTCTGTTTCATTATATGTACACGAAAACTTATGAAAAGTATATTCACATATATTGGTCAGCCCTCACAAGAACTTAGGAAAGTTGTAGAATTCAGAGGAACACGGGGCCAATATTTACAGATCATGCTAGTTTTATCATATCTATGATATACGTTTGTATATATATGTGTGTGCGTGCGCGCGCGCGCGTGTGTGGTTAACTCTTTCACAGTACAGGAAATCATTATCATCATGCTCAGTTGTTATCCCTCAGCTGCCGCTTTAAATAAAATACTAAATATAATATTTGGCTACCTAAACACATTTGCATCGCAGACACATTTGCCAAGCCATGCTTCTGTGTATAAATAAAATGCTTTTTGGAGACTGGCCAGTATGATTTAAAATAATTACCTGTTTCTCTGGGATTTATAACACAGCAAAACCAATATTTCATTTTGGTGATACAGAAGGGTTAAATACTTTATTGGTGGTATAAAAAATACAAATCCATGCTGCATATATACATTTCCTATAACTGTAGGGCAGTCTGTCCCAAACCTTGAAATGTCATGAGGTATTGATATGTGCTAAACATGTGTCACCTGTCACAAAATGCCAAACTGTCACTCTTGCAATTTCATGAGGTGGGAAGTCAAAACCAGCCAAACTGCAGCCATTTCTGGAGTATATGCTTAAAGCTAGCCCACCTTCAGGGGAAGAACGCCAAGCAACACATTTCTGCTGTTCTTTCTAGGCTGATTAAGTTCAGGCCACTTGCACCAACATTGAGCTGCAATTCTTGTGTATGACCATTAGTGTTGGCACAGCTGGCTTATGCGTTTTTACTTTGCGTGTGCAAGCTTCAAGATTTTGCTGGGGCTGAAAAAATTGTCCACTGCTTTTCAAATGGGATATTTTGTGTGATTTCTATCGACACAGGAACTGAGCAGTGATAATGTAACCTCTGCTAACTTCCAGGATTAATACCATGTAAAGAACTTGTTGTCCACAGAAAAGAATGCAGAAGCCACAATTCAGACCCTTGATCCAAGAAAAATTAGCATATTCTACCATGAGAGTTGGTGTTATCTTACCTAGGGGTATAACACTGATGTGGAAATCCCAAGTCTACAGACTGCATCTGTTTGTCTCATCTGTAAAGATTTAGGCCCTGATGAATGGAAGCACCAATATACAAAAGTTTGGCTGAGCGGACATCTTCATAGCATCGTGATTCCTCAGATCAGCTCAGTGCCAGATCATATCTAAGCATTTAGGCAAGCTGCTTTAGGTTATGGGAGATGCCTGTTTACTACCTGAGCTTTCCTTTGAGGGCTGATCTTCATACATTCAGCCGTTGTTGGTGAATCTGTTACACCACCTGCTTATTGGACTGCAGAGATGATGTAACCACTGTAAAGAAGTCATATGTTCTACAGAACTACCTATGTGGGTTACCCAGAAATGCCAGGTAGAAGACAGGTGATGTGTCAACCAAAAGGCTTAGATATCATAACTTTGCCATAAACAGGGACAACCATTATGTGAAATATTAGAAAAATGCATAAAAAAAGTCCACTGACAACTCTTAGCTGCAATAGCTGTTCCTTCATTTATTACAGTTAGTAGTCTGCTTTTCTTTGCTCCCTACCATCAATTCCCTTCCCCCCTCCCCTTTCCATAAATTACTTAGGAATCCCATTTTGGAGCCAACCTTTATTGTAATAGAAACTAGCCAGGAAAAAACTATATTGAGTGAAGGTATTTATTCTGAGGTCATGTTGCCTCAAGTCAATTAGATCACAAATAATTTCTTAATGGAATTTGTTGAGAGGGAAGGGGAATGCTTCAGTAACTTCTACACTGTGCTGCGGCGCATCAGAATATAATGCAAGCCTGAATATCTGGTATAACTATCAATGCTTGCTATATAGGCAGAATTTTAAAAAATTGAAATAACAATCAGATTTTATTTTACTATGCTATGAAGGTATACTTATAATATTTCTGACTACTTTCCTCAGTTGCATCACAGACACTTTTGCCAAGCCAGCTTCAGGAACATTTAGTATCACAGTCATCATTATTCACTCCAGGACAGAAACCTTTCAAGCCTCAAAAGAAAAAAATGAAAACAGTGTCACCACTCTCTGGGTCAGCCAGGTATGGTCATCTAGTGGTACAGGAGAACAATTTTCTGCCTTAGATGACTGAAATAGCATAAGCATTGTAATATTGACTTCCCTGTATGGGTTTTAGAGCCCAACGTTGAGGGTAAAAATAATTGACCTGATGCCCCCTTAATAGACAATCTGTGAAAGGGGATTAATTAAGGGTTTGCTCAATTAAATGTTTTAATCAGAAAGCCTAGCATCACAGTCTAGCTGTAAATCACAAGACTGTTTGCTAACAACTGTTTTAAGGAGGAGCAAAGAATATTCACTGAATGAATATAGTATTAAGTCTTCTTACTTTACTTAGTTGCTGTTGTTCTACCTTGGCATATGGGGTTTGCCAGAGAGATCACCAGACTTTTCTCTATCTACAGATTTCTTTCTAGCTTTGTTACATTCCAGTTCTCCTTCAGTCAGGACTGTAAGATATTGTCTTCCCAGCGGACCCTGGGTCAGTCTGGAGGCCTGGTTCTCTGGTTCCTAGCCTTCCATGCCTGCCATGGTGGCCGATTTTCTCCTATTCTGCATATTCCATCGTATTTGTGACTGATCCACTCAAGTTTGTAAGGCCTGAGTTTCAAGATCTTGGCATAATGTCTGCGAACTTTGTTCGTTCTTGTCACTTAGACACCTTTCTCAGATATCTCATTTGTGAGGCCTGAAGCTGGCTTCTATAAGCTGTTGTCATTGCCCATGACTCACACTCATAAGTCAGGACTGGCACATAGGTGGAGCGGTAAACAGCTATTTTCGTCCTTTTGCCAATTTATATTTTGCTGAGAAACCCTCAGTTTATGGTATGCAGTCTTCAGATACTATAAATACTTGCGTAGATGATCTCGTCACTCCCCAACTTTTGCTATCATAATTCTTACATTGACATCTTACTGCAGTTCACTTTGCTGTCCTTTCATATGTTTTATTTCTGTCTACTTTTTGTCCCTGTGTTCACAGTATGTTAAAAGAAAAAATAGGGTGCATTGGGGTTGACAAATTTGTTGTCAGTATTATATTTTGTATTAAAATTTTTTTTTAAAAATAATAAGCAGCCCAGATGAGTAGAGCTAGTTATAGTTAGCTTATGAGTAATTCACAGTTACACAAGAAAAACCACATGTTCCACTGTCATTGTTATCAATTAATTGCTTCAGATCTAGTATTTTAAAAACTAGTAATTCATTTTTTACCCTGAAACTCATAATAACTATGATTACATTTTTTTATCGTTTCAAGTCATTCTTAGCAGATAACTATGTTTGTTGTAGAGCAGTGAATACCTACTAGATCTTTCCAGATATAAATAGCAGGCTTTAACTGCGCTGAGCGTATGCCAACCTCAAAATCACTGAGGTCTGTACCCATCCACTACATAATGAACTGAATACACGTAAAGGTAACAGATTTAAACGAGGCCAGTCTTGTTTGAGCTGGGCCCTTCAGAGGGACTACCAGTAAAACAGTTCAGCACTCTGATGACAAGACAATGCTGTGATTTGGTGCCATCAGTAGTTGATGTAGACGTGAAAGCATAGAGCAGACGCCCTGGCTGGCAGTGCAACTATTAGGAATGGGCCATCTGTGGACAGGAGAGACATCATCAGTGCCATATAAGAGACTGAACGCTGTAAGGCTTTCAGCTTCATGGAAAATGATTTTTCACTTCATAGACTGCATACCATGAGTGAACTAGTTGGAGCAGCAAGAAAGGAAAACCATATGGAAGCCATCCGTCGTTACATCAACCAGAACAGAATGGAAGTTATTAGCCTAAAAACACTTGGAGACATCCGTCATTACATCAACCAGAACAGAATGGGAGTTATTAGCCTAAAAACACTTGGAGACATCCGTCGTTACATCAACCAGAACAGAATGGGAGTTATTAGCCTAAAAACACTTGGAGACATCCGTCGTTACATCAACCAGAACAGAATGGGAGTTATTAGCCTAAAAACACTTGGAGACATCCGTCGTTACATCAACCAGAACAGAATGGGAGTTATTAGCCTAAAAACACTTGGAGACATCCTTCGTTACATCAACCAGAACAGAATGGGAGTTTTTAGCCTAAAAACACTTGGAGACATCTGTGGTTACATCAACCAGAACAGAATGGGAGTTATTAGCCTAAAAACACTTAGAGACATCCGTCATTACATCAACCAGAACAGAATGGGAGTTATTAGCCTAAAAACACTTGGAGACATCCGTCGTTACATCAACCAGAACAGAATGGGAGTTATTAGCCTAAAAACACTTGGAGACATCCGTCGTTACATCAACCAGAACAGAATGGGAGTTATTAGCCTAAAAACACTTGGAGACATGCATAGGAGGAGATCAGAGCACTTATGATCATGTCCGATGTGCAATGATCTTTCATTAAACAATGAACAACTATGTTTGTTGATCACTTCATGTCTGACATTTCTTCCCATTCTGTTATGTAGGTAGGCAGTAATCTTAGCATTCACCGGATTTAAACTCCAGCAGAAAGTTATGATTGTTCATCCATTTTTGGACTCTGGTCTTGTTCCAGACCTCGAGTTTTTAAGACACATTTGTTTTACAGATCTGACTTTTTTGTTCGCAGACTGTTGGTTCCTGGCCATTATCACATTATCACATAAATAGATGTGAATTATGGACTCTTACTCAGCCATTGATTAAAAAATGTGAACTTTTCAATTGAAATGCTACAAATTCTTAGAATACCATGGACCAAGAAGAAGAAAAACATCAATATCCCAAATGGTCTGAACATCAAGGAGAACTGGCTCATAAACAGCATCCTGTTGTGAAAGCTGAGGTATTTTGGCCATGTTATACGCCATGGTGGCTGACCCTCATGAATGTAGATAGAAGACGTTGAAGATGCATAAACATGTAAGCCTGGAGACTTGGCTATAGAAAGTGACTTTCAGGCATGCTGTGATGGGAGTGACATTCTGTAAAGAACCTGCTGATTGATGGTAGCCCATCTTATGAGGACACCTTATTTCAGAGCCTGTAAAGAAATAATTCTGCCTCTACTGGAGATTGAACCTGGACCAGTTTGGCCGGTTTTATGGAAGCTCAGATAAATTTATTGCACAGGGTTGCTCAATATAGTTGCCAGCTTTAATCTCTTCTTTGCAGTATTTCATTGTTTATGTGTCTGTAATTTAAAAAAAAAAATTATGTTTTGTTGTGTTTTTGAGAAGTCACATCATAGTGTTAACATAATGTTGTTTTAAAATTTGTAGCAGCAGTGATGATCCTAATGACAGTCTGGGCAAGTCTGACCTGTCTTTTGGAGATGATGGGGAAGAATCTCACCTTGTTATTGCAGAAACAGAACGGAAGAAGAAAAAACAATTCAGTAAAAAGAAAGGTGCGGTACTAGTTCTTAGAATTGTGTATATTTGTTTGTGGGTGCAGGTTCGTTGTAAGGCTGTTCTCTGTAATTTTGCAGTAAGGCTTCCTCTCAGTTAGTTGTACTAAAGTTTTCAAAGCCATATAAAATAGCTGGTGTTATCAGTGTTTTGTTATAAGATAGCTGGTGTTATCAGTGTTTTGTTAAAAGATAGCTGGTGTTATTAGTGTTTTGTCATAAGATAGCTGGTGTTATCAATGTTTTGTTATAAGTTAGCTGGTGTTATCAGTGTTTTGTATATTGTGATCTTTGTTTAAGAGAGAACATTTAAAACTTAGCAGGATCTTGTAAGGCATAATAAGTAACCTGGAAAAATGTATATTTGTCTATACAAATAGAGGTCTTGCCCTATATTCCTAATACGCCTAGAGGTGTGGAAAAGGAAGTATTCCTTTTACAATACTTATTATGTCATTCCAACATATTGGAAAAACAAAAATATAGTTATGAAAACCAAGGTAAGAAAGAGACATCAGTGTGTGAAATCTATTGCAGGAAAACTTGTAGAGGCAGCACCTAATTCTTAATTAGGACTTGTGAAATGTGAGAAAGAATTCACATAGTTTCATCTTTTGTGAGGCGTGTCATTTTCGACTCCCTTTTAATCTTCTTATTTAAAAAGAAGGAATATTTATTTTGACATATATTTTTTGATTTCAGTTCTCTTACATAAGGACAAATCAGAGTCAGACAGTCCAAAAGTGAGTAAATTATTGTTATTCTTCGTATTTCCAGAAGTGTATTCATGTTGGGTTCCCTTTGTCTTTTGTGTGTGGGGAGAATTTAGCTGTTGGTTTTCTAACACAGATGTTACTTGAATCTTATCACTTGCATTGGATTATGCTGTCCATATATGATTGTCACATTGTGGACAGTGGTAGAACACTTTGCTTCTTAGCCTGTTAACCCCATCAAAGTACAGTCTCCCGGCTAACTCAAGGCAGGCCATCCTATTCATTTACCACCTTCTGATGCTGATTCCATGTTCTTGACATTTATCTCTGGCTTTAACTCTGCATGTTTTTAAGTGTCCTTCTTTCTGTGAGTTCCATTGTTTAATCACTACAAATTTTCCTCAGTGAATATCGTTGCCAGCATCCTTTCCTTGTCTAAGGGTACTTTTCTTAAGCAGATTCTAAAAGTTGTTTAATGTCTGTTGTCTTGTGTCCATTTCTATGTTGCTAGAATTTTTTAGTAATATTTTTCAGCAAGTTTTTTTGTAGAAGAATTAATCGAAAAGGAGGGCTCAAATCAGATACACTCCAAACAAGGGAACAACAGCGAGAGTGAGAAACAAACATGAAATTAATAATGCATATCTGAAGAATTTATGAAACTTGGAAAAATGTCTGATCACAGATGATGGCAGAATTGACAGAAAAATGAAAATAAAAAGCCAAACGGCAGGTGAAGTTATTTACCAAATGTCACCCATTTAAGAACAGTCGTATCTAACTGTGTTCACAAAACAACAGGTTATAAGTAGCATATTCATTTCAGCATTATGGTGCCAGTGCCAAACTTGAATATGATTTTTTTTTTTAAAAGCTGAGTTTTATTCTCTTGATCAGTCTGGGTTACTAGGTTCTTAGATATAAGGCATAATAGACATGTTCAAACCACTGCTGGTACCATCAGAATTGGAACTCTGTTCAGGCTGCTGAAGACAGGGTCAGAGCACTTTTGGGGATGGCCCAAGTTCTAGTGTCAATTCTTAGCTCAGCTCAACAACCAGGTAATCTTAGCCTAAATTGAGGGCCAAGAAATTTCCAGGGAAGTTTTTGAGTCTTACTGTAGAACCAGCTAGTCTGTGCTTGTTCATTGCCCATTGCACGTACATGACCTGAAGAAATACCCAAAGGATGCTAAGTACCCTGGACCTCTGAAGCGACGCATGCCACTCTGCATGAAGCATGCCTGTTTCCACCTTTCTGAGCAAGCTTTGCGAGTCTGTTAAAATCGCAGCATGTGTGTGCACCTGATTCTTGAGCCAGTGAAAGGTCACAGTAACTGCCTCTACCTCCATTCTCAAACTAGTTGTGAAATCATATGTCAGGCTTTGTTGCGCTAAGGGTTGTCTGTTCTTTTTGTGTGTGCTATGAACTCCCATGTACTTCTTCTGCCTTAACACAGAGCCAGTGGAAAAGATGATCACATCATCTGGAGCGGAAATAGTCATGAATCAGTTGTTGAATTCCTGACCAGTAAACCACAGTAAAATAAATACCTATTCTGTTTCATTGTTTTCTTGTAGCTCCAAGAGTTGTTGTGGTAACTTCTGTTGTCTATGCTTATCTATGTAAATTGTTTGTTGTCAGGGAGACAAAGGAGACAAAAAATTATCCAAACGGGCCCCAACTGCTTACATGCTGTTCTGCAACACCCACAGAGCAGCCATTGTTAATGAGAATCCAGGAATTGGTAAGCTGTTTACTGCATTCATTGTTTAACATCTCTTTTGTGATGTTTTTTCAGTTTTGTCCACCAGTATAATCTCTTTAGAATGATTTGCTCATTTTCAAGCCTAGTGCTTTATATGGCAGTGAGTCCACAATGTTAGAGTTGGAATTAAAAAAAAAAATTTCAATTGGAGATCCATCAGTTTAAGAAGAGACTATTCTCTTGGTTTTCAGACAGTAATTTGTATGTGACACTTGAGTAGTATATGACACTTAGATAGTAAGTGACACTTAGATAGTATGTGTCACATATGTAGTATGTGTCACATATGTAGTATGTGGCACATATGTAGTATGTGGCACTTATGTAGTATGTGACACATAAGTAAGATGTGACATAAATAATATGTGGCACATATGTAGTGTGTGGCGTATTTGTAGTATCTGACAAATAAGTAAGATATGGCACATAAGTGAGTGGTATGTGACACATAAGTAATGTGTGACGGATAAGTGGTATGTGACACATAAGTAATGTGTGATGGATAAGTGGTATGTGACACAATGGAAGAGACTAAAGTCTCACCACCTAATATTCCCACAGATGGCAGTGGATGCAGAAATCCCCTGCAGCCAATATGTTCATGAAGATCGAGACAGGTTGGATTAGAAAACAATGGTTGGAGTCTGAGGTAATCTCATCTGACAGGAATCAGCTTAATGTTTGTACCAGGACACTCTGGAGTAAGAGGGAATGAATGAGTGGATTAGTTTGCTGGCAGAGCCACAGTAAGCAGAGATAAAGCAGTGGACTGGGCCAATGTTCTCACTGCTGTCAAGAAGCAGGACAAGTAGGTAATTTACGAGACCATGAGCAGTTGTTAACCTTGGCAAGACTGCGTGTCAAAAGAGGGGAATGAGATACATTTCATACAAAGAAGAATAGTAAGCCAATGCACAACTGGTGTTATCAGTTTTCACACGCTGTGGGAGATACTGAAGATGGTATTCAAACAATTATAGACTTTTCCAATGCACATTGAGGATGTTCGATCAATCATCTAACTATTCCCTGCAGCCACCCTTCATTATAGACTGGACTTCCGGTCGGAATGGACACTAAGCACGGCGACTGAGCCCTGACAAATTTTTTGCTTCTGCCAGAAGGTGGCCGTTGCATTCTTGCTCCATTTGTAGATATAGTTTCGTCGTCTAGCTTCTGAGTTAAATGCATGGTGTGACACTGTGGATTTCATTTGGAATGGTTTTCGGCTGACCAACGTGGTGGTGTGAATTGTAGATTTAGAAAATGGTGGGGTGCCCATTGTCACAATATTGGTGGTGCCATTAGGTGATTAAAAAGGATCGCTTGTGCAACTGCTGATCTGTTGGTGACTTTTGCTACCATCCATGATGAACTGCATTTCTAATGTCAGACTGTTTGTGTTAGCACTTCAGATGGCTGCTGTATGCTTTTAATGTGTGTGTATGCTAGATATGCTGAGACAGCAGTATGTCAGTCTTTCCACAAGAGACTGATAAACATTCTGGGTGTTTTTTGTTGGCATAGGAGCAACTATGGGGTGACCCGTTTGCTTTGAAGCTGAAACTAAGATTACTAGATTCATTATAGAGACGGCATATATTTTTTTTAATGCTTTGCTGCAAGAAATGATCACCATATTCATTAAAGTGGAGGAAAATTGTTCTTCCAATACTTTAAATGACATACAGTCACAACATATAAATGCTAACATGGAAAGGTGATCTTGCCTTATTCATATGTTATGCAAACATTCAGTATCACTGAATCCATTTAATTTTCTCATATGCTGAATTTGATTCTGTGCCGACCCTTTTATCCACAGAAATCAGATCACTGGTCACATTTCTGCTTTGGGTGGTGGGGGCTTTGTGAGTGAGTGGCTCAGAGGTTATGACGTCCGCCTTTTATGAACTATAATTAGGGTAGTTACCTCTCCTCCCCTTCCTTCCCCCCATTGTTGGCTGGGTTTTTATAAACCAAACCTAAAGCAGTATACTTCCTTTCTTCCTCTTAAACTCCCCCCCACCCCACCCCCCCCCCCACACACACCCCCCCCCCACTATCACTTCTTTTTTGGCCACGTTTTAAAACAAAACTAAAAATGGTATGCTTCCTTTCTCCCTCTTAGTCTCTCTCGCACTCCCTCCCCTCCCCCAGTCCTCCAACCATACTAACATTAAGGTTATAGACTTTCATTTTCTCCAACCAGCTCACCCCATAATTATTTGCTCAAACAAGGATGACAATCTCTGAGGACTTATTAGCATATTATGCGCATAAAAAAACACCTAGCCACTGCATATGTAGAATTTTAAACTTTTAGAAACCCGCTGACAAGAGAATGTGTGTTTGATTCTGGTAAGCAGATATAACATTTTGCCTTGTCAGTTGTGCAGTTTGCTAAAATGTTCTTTGTTGTATGAAAGGAACACTAAACAGATATCCTTGTGCAGTGATTGGTCCTGTACGGAAAACTAATTGTTTACAGATCTAGTATTATAATTACAATTAGTTACATATTCTTTAGGGAGCTTCTGTAATGTAGCGGCTAGACACTCACTTGCTCGTGGGTTCAAATCCAATTGGAGCTGAAATTTTCTTTTCTTTTAAAGATAACTTTTGGCTCCCAGATTGACCCAGCCTCAAATGAGTACCAGCTAAAGTCCTGGGGCATCAAGGTGGCCAGCGTGATGGTGACTACATCACCCATCGAGTGCCAATTGGTCTATAAAATATATGTCTAGTACTAAATTCCCAGTATACCTAAAGTCATGGAAAAGACTTTACATATCCTTTACATGATTTTTCAACTCAAGTCACTTTCATCCAGTTATCATCCTAGATAGCGTACATCCCTCAGGCATGGTGCAGTAGCTACCAGGCAGTGAAGGTTGCACAGGGAGAAAATGGAGGCAGGCTAGAGAGAACAGTATTGCTAATCCCACACTTACTGTGGCTTCCATCTGTTGTCTGCACTGCTCAAGTACTTTCCAGGCTCATATTGGATTAATCAGCCACCTTTGTATTTATAGTCGTTGTTCATAACTACTTTGGATGAAAGTGGTCTTCATCACTCGTGATGGACGAACAAAAACACACATGATTTTACAAATTAACCTCATCATTTGTTTGGCTGTTTGGGGTTTTGCCCGGCAGGTCTGTTTTCAGCAGTCTGCAATTGTACTCTGAATGGATCACTGCTTAAATGATTGTTAACATCACCACAAAATCATTTGCTGCCAAATCACCTGCAACTAAAAACAACACAGGATACCAGAATTATGAAACTGCTTTTATAACCTTTAAGCCACACCCACCTCTGGATATAGTTTTAGTCTTAGATTTCACATAATCACATCCCATCTTGAACACTTCAAGTTCATTGAAAAAATAGTCTCTCTGTAGGTCGGTAAGCTATTGAATGCATTTGTGTTACAGTTGTTATGTGTTCAATAAATATCAACTTTCATTTGTTTGTCCTATTCTTCAGAATTTGCTGCAATAAGTCGGAGGTTGGGTGAAATGTGGCAGAACTTGTCAAATAAACAAAAACTGGTAATGTCATTTTCTTTTGTTCTTAGCCTGACACAGTGATAATTGAGAATCAACTAGAGAGTTCATATTTTCTTTGTGTGTGTATGTGTGTGCATGCGCAGCAGTTCTTCTCTACTTCCACTGACCCCATTGGAGTGTTGGGGGAACATAAAAGGATTGCCTTTTTGTTTTCTTTGATTCATTGTATAAGTTAGTCTTTATTTCTTTAAGCTGCTCTTGATGCCACCATTCAGTATTTTTGATTATCTTCTTCTTGCTCTGTGTTCATTATATTTGGCTGTTTGTAGAGGTTGGTACCAGATGGCCAAACCCCAATGGTTGTTCTTTAATGAATTATAATAAGGAATTAAATGAATTTCAGCAATAGTCTCTTGTTTTCTTCATTTTTAATTTTATCTCATTCCCCCCGCCCCTCCCCCTTCAAAGATATCTTATATCTGTTATGATTTTGCACTCATTAGTTGAAGGTCCACGTTTGACAATGGTTGAATAAAGTCCTCCTCCCCTCCACCCCAAATAGTTTTTATATTTGCCTTGGTAGACATGTGTATGACAAAAGTGATGTTAGTTTTCTGAGTACCTGATTTGCTTTTGCACATCATATGTTGATTGCTCTGTTCATGCTTCCTTAAGATATGATAATTGACTCTGGATGTTTAAGTTCACTGCAGTTAGTTGATAGGTGCAAATATAGCAGGGGCCGAGTGAGTTCTCTGTTCCTCTGACACTCTTTCCTTTGTTGGCTCGAGATCACTGCATTCACCAGAAGCTTGTGAAGTCCCTGTGTCCTGCATTCACAGAACGAACATACTAAGTCCACAATTGATGGGCGTAAACATTGTTGAGTTGTGTTTAAACCTTTTTTTAAAAAAATATTTCAGAAATTTATAGTCTCTGTCGGCAGTTAAAGTTGTCAAGATATTGTTGAGTCATCGTCAGTGGAATATCCTACTTAGCATCATTATAGACAGCAGTAGATGAAAAAAAAAGACTTGAATTTTCATTCTTTGGGAAATACTGCATCAGCAGGAAGACAAATGGTAATCGGTTGAATGATTCTCAGTTGGGCTGATCTTGAGGAGAATCGTTAGACCAGAGTAGAACCCTGCTCTTCCATATTCGCGTTGATAACAGTTTACAGGACATTGTAGAACCAACCCCAACAGCCCCTGGCTGTTGTGTGGTTTTTCTAGGCAAATTTATGTCCAGTAGTTTGCCATTGCTTGCAGGACGGTCCGCTTTCTTGATACCACTGTCGAAAACAATACAAGGCGCATGGCCAGCAGCTGGGATCGAACCCGGCATCCCGGTGCGTTCGCATCGACTTAGCCACACAGCCGAGTGATAACAGTTACTGTTTATAAAAAGAAAAAAGTACTTTGTTAGAGAAACACCATTGGCAAATATTATCAAAGGAAGAGGATGTAGATGGCTTGGACATGGTTGCAGATTGCCTTATGACACTTTGACAAAGCAGCTCTTCGGTGGATGGCAGAAAAGAAAAGGAGAAATGCACTGTTAGCACATGCATCTTAAATTAGTATATTTTAGATCAATTAAGTTTAAGTGTACTTTTTTGTGTTTTATCAATTATAAAAGTTTTTTAAATACTGCATTTTCCCCCTCATAATCTAGCAATGGCGCAGAAAAGCTCAGAGACGAAGGAAAAAAGGGTCGAACCTAATCTCTACTGGTAAGGCAGGCAGAGAATCAGGTTCCCTCACCCATACGCCTGTCTCATCCATCCAGTCACATCAAAGCCCAGGGTTAAAGCTGTCAGCAATGATGCAGAAAGCTCAACGGTCTTCCCCTGAAGACACCCCACAAAGTCCAACAAAGGTACACCTTTTACCAAGGTTGTGATAGTCAATTACAGAATTAGTTGTTACAGTTTGCAGTTTTTTTTCTTTACCCAGTTGCTGCTTTAAGTCTGTCATGTCCAGTGAATTAAATTTAGTGCAGATCTGTGAGCCTTTTTTTTTTTTTTAAACTTGTCGATGCATCACTTTCTTTCACTCTTCCCTTTCCTTCTGCTACTGCTTTTTTTTGCTTCTGATGGTATTGCATCCAAGTACAATCCCTATAGCTCTCATGAAGATTCTGTATAAATTCATGATTGTATATCAATGCATAATCTGGTTGGGCTGTTCTTCTTTTACCTTCTTCCATCTCCATTAGTCAAGATACCCAGATGTGTGAACATATCAACTTTCTTCAGACTAGTTCCATTTATTTTGATCTAGCATTCTGGAAGACATTTGTTTGTAATTATGATTTATTTATTGCTTTATGCACACATACTTTTATTTGGACTTTCTGTTTTGCCAATAATATCTACCATTTCAAGTAACTGCATTTAATTATCAGAATGGTGAGCATATCAGGAAAGTTGTATTTTTTACATATCATGACCACATAAAGAATTTTTTTTGTCAGTTTTGGTTCCCTTGCTAGTAAATGTAAAAATATTCTTCTTCTTCAATGTTCGTATGGTGACCTAATTATTTTGTGCCTGTTTACAGCATAGCTGGTATGTTTGGGCCCTTCGGCATGTAAGAATATTGGCTTCATACTACTGCCTGCCCAGTTTCCTTTCTAACCTATATGGTTTATGTATGGGTAGGGAGGGAGGGGAGGTCTAGCAGTGTGCAAGTATGGCATTGAAGTGGCATGTACATGGAAACAGTAAAGAATCATGAACATTTGTTTACTGCAGCCTTGTAGAGTTAATATATCTGATGTCTTGTAAGAATAATTTACCCTCATTCACTTACAGTTGCCTTTCTACAGACCTGCAGTCATATTTCCTGGCCACTGATTCATGAACTTTAAAATGATCATTAATCAGATGAGTTTTTTGGAGGCTTTAATTGACAGGTGAGGTAAAGATCCCTGTATATGCCAGTGACGCGTCAGGCAAATGAGGCTAGACTCATATTTTTTCTAGATCAGTTGGCCCTTGATGTGGTTAGCTTGAGGCCTGCCACCTTTACTTCAGCAACTTTTACCTGGTACCTATTTAAGGATGAGTCAACTTGCGAGTAAGGTCTTGTAAAAAAAAAAAAACACAGGCTTCATGTAGATTTGAACCCTTCAGCTTTGGTTCCCAGGTTAGCGTCTAGCCCAGGGCCATTTAACTGTTTACTCAGGGGCCAGAATATTGGGAAATGGTCATCACCGGCGCCTGAGCCCCAGTATAGAGAGATAATACAATACATTGGCAGGTGATTCACGGGCACTTACTAGGCCTCTGTGGCCCAGATTTGGTCAGCGGATCACCAGTTGAATAGCCCTAGTCTAGCTGCTACACCATGTAGGCTCCCCATTAACAAGAGCATTTAATATTTCCCGAAGCACACAAACCAGCACTGTCCACATGTTTGCGCTTTACCTGGATTTGCAGGTTGCAAGAGGAAGGTGATGAAAGGATAAGATTTAATAAATATTTCATGGTTATTGAGATTTGTTCTAATGTATAGCAGTGATATTATAACTCTTCACTTGCTGCTGAAGGTGGGGATGCAGCGCTTATGGGAGTGTCCTGAATGCTATGATGTCAGTTTTTAATTCAACATTTAACATTCAGCGAGCCTTAGAATGTGTATGAACTGCCAATGTGAGTTCTGGTGCCTGACTTTTGAGAACAAATAATAGACCCACTGCTTCTTCGTAGCCTGAAGTTAAAGGTCACTAGTTAAGGATCTGTTGAAATCAAATGTTTTTGAGCAGTAAAGCTTAGATATTGCAGCCTACAACTATAACACAGCGTTCTAGCCATCTTTTGAGGGCAGGTGCAAGAGAATAAGAACAGACAAGTTCGGAAGAAATTCAAGGCAGCAGTGATGTGACTCCTCAGATACATGTTTGCTAGTATGTTTAGATAGCCAGAGTTGCTGTGTAGGTTCTAAAAAGATGATCATATCATTTTAACTACTTCTTAACCCTACCAGACCTGAGGCCCTGAACTTAACTGCCCCTAACTGCCCATTAACGCGAAAAAATCAACATGATATACAAAAATATTAATTACATGCAAACAAGTGGTAAGAAAACGTTGAAACTTGGAGACATTGTAGAAAATAGGTTAATCTTTCATCTAGCGCCCATATTCCACCTTTGTGTGCCAATTCACTCAGCAGGATCTGCCTTGTTTCACAAAGTGAATACCAGATGTTGCTGTTTGAAGGACACACCCCCTTCTTCCACTATCGATCTATTTCTAGATTTATAATTTATAAGATTCTCCTCATTATTCTAGCTCTCTCCCTTCAACTGTGAACGTATTCTTCATGAAATTATGACTCCGCATAGTCTGAATAAATCAAAGTATCGATCACCTGTTGGGCTGTGACAATCCTAGACCTGTTTCACTTTCCTGTCGAAGTGCTTGGTTCATCAGCCAATCGTTTTATTGTGAATTTTCAGAATTTTCTCTTGTAAAACAACACAAATTTAAACCAAACATGTGCGGGCGGACATCTAGGAAGACTATTCACGAGGTCTGATGACGATTGGCTAGTCATTTTTAGTCTGTGACTTTATTTCACCTACTAGGCAAATAGTCGAAAATTAGGGACAGCGGTATAGCATCAGGTTAAGAAATCCCGAAAAATCAGGTCAGCGGTCTGGTAGAGTTAAGTAGTTTTATGAAAGGTGTTCCCATAATCTGTCTAATAGTATCATGTCGTACTCTGTTTAGGGTGGATAAGTTGGTAACTTTCTTTAGGTATCTTATCATGCATGAGGTGTTTGGGGGGGGGGGGGGGGAGATGAGATGTTTATATTTACACCTATGACTGCCTGTACTATTCGATAAAGCACATTGAGATTTAATATTTAAAATCGAAGAGTTAGTTGGGTACTGTCTTCTTCAGCGATCTCTTTTCTTGTGCTTAATCTACTTTATTCTATAACTTTGGTTGTAAGTTAAATGTTTTTTTTAAATGTTGAATTAAGAATCTACATCATAGCACTTGTGACACTCCCATAACCGCTCCATCCCCATCTTCAGCAGCAAACAGAGTTCAAATTCCGATGGCACCAGTAACTATATGTCTGTCTCGCCTTTCCCCTGAATGTTGAGCATCGGTCAGATCCCCTGGCAACTCCTCGCAGCGCCATTCCCCTCAGACCATAATGATCTATTTGTGTGTCCACACTGTTCACTCGCTCCCAGAGGGCCCTCATCTAGCTTGTCATACATCATTTCACCACCAGGTGGTGCAGAACTGTCCAGTCTATCTATCTGGTAATTTCCCAACACACCGGCATGATCTGGAGAGAATATCTAAAGGATGCTAACTACCTGGGACTTCTGAAGTGAAGCTTGCCACTCTGCACGGAGCATACCTGTCTCCACCTTTCTCAGTATGCTATGTGAGTCAGTTACAGTCACGGCATGTGTGTAAGCTGATTCTCAAGCCAGCGGATTGCAGCAGCGACTGCTTCCACCTCTATTCTCAAACTAGATGTGATATCATATGCCAGGCTTTGTTGCACTAAGCGACGTATATTCGCTTTTGCTATGAACCCCCATGCACTTTGTCTGCCCCATCAAGACAGAGCCATCTATATAGATAATCACATCACTTGAGCGGGAATTGCCATGAATCATTTGTTAAACTTCTGATTCTGCAGCGCAATCTGGCTAGTCCCTGCACTCACGACCCATAGGGATAAGAACCCTACAAAAGTATGAAACTTGCTCTAACATTTTGACCCACTCCTCACCTAGCACAGATTTATCAAGCCTGCACACAAGTCTGATTGTGTTTTCAGCTTTTGCCATGCAAGACACTTCCTCTTTTTAGTCTTTGACCCTTAAGTCTACACAGGACTTCATGCAGGAGGTGCTTTTTGTCTGCAATTACTCTGAGATATGACTTTGCATGCAGAATATTGAGCCTATCTGCCATAGTAGGCAGTACAAGCATATATCGCATACATACTACCGGGGTATTTGTTGTACATCCCAGAATTACCTGCATGGCTTCATTCTATATACGTTTAAGTTTCATCAGCTGACTTTTTGATACGGTAAGCATTCCAAGTCCGTAATCTGTCATCGACAGGATCACATGCTGGAACATTGTAAACAGCATTCTTTGTTCCATGTCCATTGTTGCCTTAATCTTGAAAGCAATGAGTCCTTTTTGGCATTTCACCACAACTGCCTCCACATGATCTCAGAAGGACAGGCTTCTATCAAAAATGATATCCAGGTACCTCAGTTTGCTTTCTCTTTTGATGTTACTGTTTTTAACTGTGAGGTTTAGAACGCTAGCTTTTACAATTCTATTGTCCAGAGAGCACCTGGTGCTTCAAGTTCTGCAGTCTTGCTTGTATACATATTTAGGGGTCACTACACAGCATTTTTTTCCAATTTATGACAAAAATATCAGTTTTTCAATGTGTTCATTTTTGTAATGTTCGGCATTCGTAGAATAGATTACACACACAATTTTTGTCATTGGTAAACAGTTTAGCATTGAAAATTTAATACTAAAGACACCAACCCATGCACTTTTTTAAGTAAAAAAAAGTATAAAAGTCACTTTTCTAGCAATTCTATTTTTTCTGTTTGTTGTGTGTGGGATCTCCTAAAATCTCAGCTAATATAAAGACTAGAGATGTGAAATTTGGTGTGGATACTCCTAACACAATATTATAGGGTCAGGTCTATTTGAAATTACAGTTTATTAAGTCATTTATTTTTTAAACTTGATTATTAAATGAAAAAGCTACATTTTTGTATTTTTTCAACATACCAAAATTTTAATATTCTAAAATAAAAATTTAAAACATCTTTGAAGTAAATAAACTAAACCTGACCCTAAACATAAGTTTAAAGTTCATAAATCAATCATTTGTTTCTCAATACCTCTGTTTGTTTTTGAGATTTTAGCTATCTAAGTACATGTTTTTTTCCCCATTAAGATGGCGGCTGTTGCCATGGCAACCATGTTTTTTTAAACTTGAAGTCTACAAATGTATCAACATACATCCCTACAAATGACCATTATAAAATAATTGGTCTAACATTGTAAGTAACAAAAAAATTTGTTTCCTGTAGTGACCCCTTAAAGATCACCAGTGAAATTGCAGAACCCTGGGGTAGTCCCGAGCGATAGTACACGGTTCTGAGGTTCATGTATCTAGGCGAAGAGCTACCATACATGTATGCAGGACAGCTGCTATCTAGTTCACAAGCCAGATACAAACCCCCTTCTCTGTGAGTGCAGATAGCAAAACCTCAAATCAGACTCCATTGTAGGCATCCTCAAGATCAGGTGCTGCCACAACTGTCTCCTGTCTGTTCTGGAAGCCCTCATAAACATCAAAAGCAAAAGTAGAAGCATTTGACCCGGTAACAGGCCGCATTAGCATAGTCGATAAGAAGCTCGCTTTCAAATCCAGCTGTGACTCGCTGCAGCCACGGTCAGTGTTCGAAACCGTGCGGTTCCTCTAGTAAATTGGTACCAGAGTTGACAATCTGGGGTAAATGAAGGAACGTCGCTCTTGCTAAAGAGTTAGGTGCGAAGGGCGACACAGGCGGACAATTCTTATCAACTGTCCGAACTGGTGGCAGAGCACTTATGGTTTATAACCATGTGCAATGACGCTGGTTCACACCTCCCGACTTTACCTTTTTTAACTAAACAAACCTTTTGGCACGAGCTCTTCCCTTTCCAAAAACATTTGTAGTTTAACAGCAATAATCTTTTCTAGCACATAGCCCAAAGCATTTTTTAAGGTGATAATCCTGAAACTGCTGAGTCTGGAATGATCTTTATCTGGTTTTGGAAGTTGGATTAGGTAGCTGTGTACCCACTCCTGGGGTACTGAAGCTGTTCTAATGCTCTGGTTGAAATCAAAAGCCATCTTCCTCCTGTCTTTATCACTCATGCACCTCATATGGGCATACCTGACTCCGTCTGGCCACGGTAAAGTGTCTTTTGTTTTTTTGCAATATATATTTTATATCGTCCATCCTTTTGATATCTTAAAGAAAGTTATCATTTATAGTACTGGACAGGTTAACTCTGACTGAATTTCTAAGCTCCCTATCATTATGATCAGTTTGGAATATGAATCTTTCCAAAATAGCTTCCCATTTCTCTTTGTCTGTTGTCATTGGCTTATCGTTATCAGTGTATATAATGCCTGTTGTGACAGGCCAATTCTTCATTTGCATCTGTCTATGAAGTTTCTAAAACCTGTCCAGTGATCTATCCCCTCCAATTTCACTCATAAAATATTACCATTTAGCCTTTTTTGCATCTGCTGCACACCACTTGAACTCTTTTACTTGTTCTTTTCTGTCTCTTTCTAGCTTCTCTACATCCTCTTGTATCCTGTGAGGTGCCTGTTACACTTTCTGTAATTGCTTAACTGCTGCTCGATATTTGCTCTCCACGCCTGTTCTACTTCCTGGGTTCACCATGGAGGCTGCAAAAAAGCAGAGGAGGTGGTTCTGCTGCATACTAAGGTTTCTTAGGTTTCTTCAAAGCTTATTTGTCAGATCTACTGAATGTTATGCAGCTCCTACAGCCTCGCAATACATATTCTTGGTTTGATATGGTAACCAACTGCGTGTGTGCTTGTTTGTCTTGCCCAGAATTTCAGCATTGAACCTATTGATGTGGCTGCACATCTAAAATTGCTGGGAGAATCACTAAGCATCATTGGCATGAGACTGCAAGAACACAAGGTAGAGTCCTGATGTTTTATTTTCTCGTGGCAGATATTTAAATGTTTGTGATGATTTTATTGGTATCTGTTGTTTAGGAAATAGTTTATTGCACCTAATAAACAAATCAAAACCAATCTCAACAGACAAATCAGAAACATTTACAGCTGAAGGGATTTAAGTAAAGGACTCTGTTCAAGCCATTGGTACATTGGACATATGGTGCTAGACCTGTCTTTAAATATACTAGTTGACTCCTAATGGATGAATGTTTAATAAAATGTTAGCAATTTTTACCTCCAATGACATTTTCTGCACCCATTTTGTGCTGGAAGCCCAAGTACGCTGTAATGCAGGTTAACACACAAGACCTCCCAGCCACCCAACAAGCATCTAACCACTGTACAGCTGCACTTCCCAGAAAAGGATTAGTGTATTTAGAAAAAAATTCACCAATCCTAAATTAGTAGAATATATATTATTCTCAAAATAGTGATTAGAAAGGAAAAAATGATTCAAGAGGATTTGTAGAGAGTTATCGATCTGAAAGATTGTATATAGGTAATACAAAGCAGATAGCAAGCTAGTGCATATAAAACGAAATAAAAATGGTTATGACTTCTAGTCAGTCATGCCACAGTAACATAGTCATGCTACAAGACACTGTTTTTTTTATTTGTTTTTTTTTATACCATAGCACCATTTTAGGACTATGGTATAAGACCATACTTTTTATTTTGAAACCAACTGGCACTTAACAGCACAGATGATTTTTGTCAGTAAAATCAGCAGACTTAATTACATACAAATTGTTTCTTATTTGATTAGGCTGGGTCAATCTTGAAGCCATGTGGTCCTGAAAATACCTCACGTTTGGAAGTTCAGACAAGTGCAGGGGAATGCATGAAACTGTTGCATTCTCCCGACTCCTGGCATTTATGAACAGGGGTCAAGGTTCAACCCCTTTCTTCTTTTTTGTCTAAAACTTGCAATAGTAGAAGGCATTGATTCTATATGTTGTTGGGTTATTTTAATTTTAATACTTTGTTACAAGTAATTTTTTTTTTGAAAAAGTTGATGTTTTAATTTTCTGCAGGGTATGATTGCAGTTCAGGGCAGCCTGTCTGTTCTTCTAGATTCTTTGCTTTGCGCCTGCGGACCATTGCTGTGTTTGACCCAGCAAGTTCCTGGTATGGATGGATGTTCTCCACTGGTACATGCCCAGACTTTAGACAGTGTGGCCTATGTCATGCCTGGTCTCTAGACAGCCCTCGGCGTTAACATGGGTGTTATTATGTTCATATATCTGTCATTGAATTCACTTTATGTTCCTGGTAGTTGATGGATGTTCACTAACTAGTACAGGTTCAGACTGGAGACAGTGTGGTCTGTGTCAAGCCTGAACAAAACAAACTGTTAATGTGTAGGTTATTATAAATATATCTCTGCCATTGAATTCATGCTGTTGAGTTTATCTGCATTTATATGTGTGTCCATTACTGATGCATGGTTGTATACGAATTTGATTGGTATGAATTCCTGGATGTCATATTAGATGTTGTCTGGGTGCCTTATCTGTTAATGAGCTAGAATGTTAAACTATTTAAGTGTTTGTGTGCACACACATGCACACACAAAACAAAGGCAAAACTGTGTTTACTGCATGTATTTACTTCTTTTGAGGGGGGGGGGGGGGGGGGGGGTTGTTGAAGCCTTAGGATTTAAGTCAAAATGGCTAGTGCAATCGCCACAATTCACAATTGAAAATAATCTGAATTCATGGTCTGTGGAACGATGTCTGTAAAATTGTAGACTGTTGGTCATTGAGGCAGCAATAAACCTTATTGTCTTGGCAGTATTCTCTCTGTGGTCTTGTTAATTTCTAGAGTAGACATTGCATGCAGCAATAAATGGTGTAGGTTTATAACATGAAGATGCATTGAGATATAACATCTAACTTGTTAAAGCTTTTATACTGTTAGGATGTGCATGTTCTTTAATTAGCACAAACTGTGACTATGAAGGTTAACAAAGAAAAGGACAGATGCCTGCAGATATAAGTGGATCAGATTTTATTTCATGCGTGACAGTTATGGAAGCAGTAATGTGGTGAAGAAACAGTACATGTTACTTGGAGTTAGTGTGGCTTCTCTGTGAGCAAGACATAACTGGATGGCTTCTCTGTGAGCAAGACATAACGATGGGTTCTCTGTGAGCAAGACATAACTGGATGGCTTCTCTGTGAGCAAGACATAACAATGGGTTCTCTGTGAGCAAGACATAACTGGATGGCTTCTCTGTGAGCAAGACATAACTGGATGGCTTCTCTGTGAGCAAGACATAACAATGGGTTCTCTGTGAGCAAGACATAACTGGATGGCTTCTCTGTGAGCAAGACATAACAATGGGTTCTCTGTGAGCAAGACATAACTGGATGGCTTCTCTGTGAGCAAGACATAACAATGGGTTCTCTGTGAGCAAGACATAACTGGATGGCTTCTCTGTGAGCAAGACATAACTGGATGGCTTCTCTGTGAGCAAGACATAACTGGATGGGTTCTCTGTGAGCAAGACATAACAATGGGTTCTCTGTGAGCAAGACATAACTGGATGGCTTCTCTGTGAGCAAGACATAACTGGATGGCTTCTCTGTGAGCAAGACATAACTGGATGGGTTCTCTGTGAGCAAGACATAACAATGGGTTCTCTGTGAGCAAGACATAACAATGGGTTCTCTGTGAGCAAGACATAACTGGATGGCTTCTCTGTGAGCAAGACATAACAATGGGTTCTCTGTGAGCAAGACATAACTGGATGGCTTCTCTGTGAGCAAGACATAACTGGATGGGTTCTCTGTGAGCAAGACATAACAATGGGTTCTCTGTGAGCAAGACATAACTGGATGGCTTCTCTGTGAGCAAGACATAACAATGGGTTCTCTGTGAGCAAGACATAACTGGATGGCTTCTTTGTGAGCAAGACATAACAATGGGTTCTCTGTGAGCAAGACATAACTGGATGGCTTCTCTGTGAGCAAGACATAACAATGGGTTCTCTGTGAGCAAGACATAACAATGGGTTCTCTGTGAGCAAGACATAACAATGGGTTCTCTGTGAGCAAGACATAACAATGGGTTCTCTGTGAGCAAGACATAACAATGGGTTCTCTGTGAGCAAGACATAACGATGGCTTCTCTGTGAGCAAGACATCACTGGATGGCTTCTCTGTGAGCAAGACATAACGATGGCTTCTCTGTGAGCAAGACATCACTGGACAGTACATTGTATAATTTTATGAATGTGTTTAGAAGGAATGTTGCAGAACCAACCCCAGCATTATTGGCTATTGTGGTTTTTCTAGGCAAATTTTACGTTCAGTAGTTTGCCATTGCTTTTGGAACGGTCAGCTCTCTGTACCACTGTCAAAACCACATGTTACTTGGAGTTAGTGTGGCTTCTCTGAGAGCTAAACATCACTGGATAGTACATTGTTTAATTTTATGAGTGCAGTTAAAAGCATAGGGGCAATTTTTATTTGCCTTTGAGGCAACAGACAAAAATGGAACCTTTTGGTCAACAAATTTACACCTTCTGTTTTAGAGTGAATCTTATTTGATGATCAGATTTTGTGTTATGAGATACTTTCAATGATTCTAGAATGTTTACTTGCATTGTTTATAAAACAAAGAAAAACCAGCAAGCTGCATGGATCTTTCCAACTTAAGACCTGATAGGTTGCTGAACACAGTTTCTAGTCTTTATCAAAATGGAATTTAGCATCAGTACCTTTGTCCATTGTTCAGACATCAGTATTCGTAAATAATACAACCAGTGTAGACTGGGTGGTGTCAGTATAGTTGAAACTACAGTTACTTGTATATCTTGATATTCTCTCATTGAATTCATCAATTGTCCCTCTCCTACTCCTGTGGGTATTAAGTACTTCTACTTTCATGAGCTGTTTTTCTTGGCTATCCAAGACTGTGTCCAGGTCCAACAGACCTCAGACCCAACGCTTGAAGTTGTAGATATAAAAGCACAATTTTGTTCAGCCACGATCTTTCTCTTCACTAGCTGAAAATCCCCAGCCGGACCTTACATCTCGGTAAATAGAAACATCTGTATACACTATATCACCATCTAGCCTAGCATTTTGATCTATCACCTGTGTACCCCTAATTCTCCATTCTACCATTACACCAATCTCTACATTCTCTTCTTAATGTGATAATGTCCTGATGGAAACAGCTGTTGTTTGTATTCAAATCAACCTATTTTGGCCCTCTGTGTATTTGCAACCAATCTGATGATATCTTCAGCTTTTGAATTAGCTGCATAATGAACACATCCCCCCCCCCCCCCCTTTTTTTTTAACCTTTAAAACAAGCATTCATTTTTGAATTTACCAATTACAAGTAAAGGCAGTTTTTCTGAACCATCCATATTTATTTGTACACACAGCAGACCTTTGACGGATTCACTTGTGCTCTCGATTCCTGGCACCACTCACTGAGTCTGTCTAGTTCATGCTGAAGCATGGTTGCAATTTCGTGCCTGTTTCTACCTCGATGGTACACAACGATATCATGTACATACGATACTGTTCTGCCCAGGCCTGCGCTTTGTGCACTGGTGACTCCTGCTGTGTACTAACTGAAGAGCAGAAGGACATTGGTGATCCCATTAAGACCCTTTGAGGTTTCGATGTCCATGAACCACATTGCAGCGACACTGTTCTTTTGAATAGCGCTGTTGCGATCCAGTTGACATATTTTATTCCTATGTGCATATCTAACAGTCATCTGATAAACATGTTGTATGGGACGCTGTTGTGCGCATCTTCTCTGTCAGTAGCGGCTACAGCCGTCTCAATTATGTTGTCCATCTTTAGCTCAGGCATAACAGAGGTTTGTGGAGACCCAAGCAGCTTCTCCCATTCCTCAGGGATGTCCAGCATATTGGAAAGTAGTGGCCGGTTTCTGGGACCTTGTGCATGTTGTTTTTGTAATTTTACCAGAATCTGACATAAAAGATGGTAGCTTCTATGATGTCCTTGTACGACCCACTGTCAGAGTGTACTCATGCTTGAAGAGACCAGAGTGAGAATGAGGGCACTGTCTGTATCACCTTCTCTGTCTGGGATTCTGGTGGGCCTGTCAAAATTCAGTCAGATTAACTTAAATCAATGTTTATTAGTGCTTTCCCTAATGCTTCACCATTTCTGTAACCTTCATGTGGCCCCATAACCTGCTCATGGTATTGAAGTCACAACACATGATGATGTAAGTGGTTATCTGCTCGCACATGTTACTTAAAATTGTCCACTTTTCTTTGTCAACTTTATTATTGTAGTCATATATGCTGGTTACTGTGAAAGGATTACTCCCATGGACCTTCACCACCTGCACCAATTTTGTTGTTCCATCCAATTGGGTCTTTTTTTTTTTTTTTTGCGTTCACCGGCTGTGAATTCCGGCGGAAGGTCCCAGTTAATCGTCCGCTTGGACTTTTGGCTTTCACCCGGATCTGATTTTTGCGTGTACAACCGTTTTAATGTTCCCTGCCTTATGGGCAGCTGTACTCCGACTTCGAAGGAACGATTCCGTCTACAATTGAGGATTTTATTTGGCACCTGACTAGGATTGCCTAGCCTAGGTGTTTGCACTTGTAATAAGTTCGGAAGCCTGAGATATTCAGAACTTCTCCGTGTTCAGCCGGACCTCCTGAAGTGTGATTGCGTCAGCATCATATGTCAGCGTTTCCAAGACTGGGACTCTATGTCGAACGCTCTGGCAGTTCCATCATAGAATGTGGAGATGACCCTTGCCAAGGGGTTTTGACTTAGATTGGCTTTTGTGTGCACCACACGTGTATTGCATCGTCTTCTACCATCCTGACCTCTCCTCCTTCTGTACCTTGCAGATGTTGTCACCTCAGATCTCAGCAAGGACGCACGAACTCTGTAGCTCCAGTGGGAATCGGGTTGATCAAAATTGTCTACCATGTTTAATTAATACACTAGTGAGGGTTTATAAACGGCCACCTTTCACTGGTGCCTTCATGCTGGGGAAGGGACTAGGGATGTAATGCACATCAGCAAGGTGTCGCCCTCTACAACCTGATTGCCTCCATTAACTACTGTCGTCCCCACAGCCATGCAGTTCTTTGGCACAAAGGTCACACCTTAAGCTTGGGTTCTGGACTACCGACTTCCTACATGCGGACACGCATGTGTTATTGATGTACGCAAAGTTATTTTTTCTT